TATATATATATATATATATATATATATATATAAAAGTACAGTATATGGTCTGTTTCTAAGTTTTGGGGTGACTATACCAATAATACCAAATATGTATTAGAGAGAAGATCTTTCTCGAAACAGGAATACAAAGGTCAGTTTATAGTTCCTGTTATTGCTTAAGATTTGCAAATTAAACTGGTATCCCAATTTCGTAGTACCCTTTCTCTGCCAAACTTCAATAGCTGCTGTCATAGTGAATAGGGATCAACTAAAAGGATGGTAAACAAGAGACTTAATCCTCTCTTTCTCTATATATGTATGTGCTCCGGAAATGATGTAAACAAAATGGGTATCTCGTCGTAAGTAGATATAAAATGATAAAAAGCAAAACTATTTGTTAGTGGAGATCACATTAACGTCAAGACTAATGTTATAGCCATTGCGTATATCTAATTCTTCTTATGAACACCCCCTATCCGTCTCTCTCTCTCTCTCTACATACTGAAATGGACATTGCCTGCAGTAAAAAAACTAAGGAGAATATATAGTCCATTTCGAGGAAAAAGAGACAGATGTCGACATAAGAAACGCTAAAGACGACACATGTCACACAGTTAATGAAAATCAGACAGAGCAGGCGAGAGCGGGACTCCGGATCCTTACCATCATGTTGACTCACCGGAACACCTCTAATGACAGCTATACACGGATGATACTACAAAGCTGGCTTTTGAACTGGCATGTGACAAAACCGAAAATCTCCAATCGACTTCTTCTTGATTGGTTAGAGCTCAACTTGTCAGTTGCTGCTTATTTCTTAAGCCCAATTTGTGTCTCATGCTCTCGTGGGATAAAACATGACATGCTGTAATTTCTATTCGTTGGAAAGAGATCTAAGCAAGTAAACGATAAGTAAGCTGGAAAACACTCACCACAGAACGTTTGTATTTATTTATAGATATTTCATAAATAGAGGCACTACAAAATATTTATAGCTAAACAGTATGTTAACTTTAATTGTTTGAAAAAATCACAGTATTATTCAGGTCATATAAGGTCTAACTAACACATACACACACAAAGGTTGCATGGAATATATGGATATATCGAGAAAAAAAAATTACCTAAAAAATAAAAGAAATCTTCCTCCCTCTTTGTCAATGTTCTGTAAATCTTCAAATTAAGGAGTTTATACAGAACATTTAACATCTTCCGATCGAAACCATTACACCATGAATTGCCCTCTCTGCAACATGTTGGGCCTTCAGTTATTATTTGTTTGTTGCTAAGTGCAAAGCTACATAATAGACTATCTGTATTCTGCCCCATGCGGGTATCAAAACCAGATGTTTAGACTTACAACTGAAACACCAGAGAGGAACGCTATTTTAACATGCCCCACCATTTTCAGGATGCACAAATAGTAGTAATGTTTATTTCTCTTGAGAAGTTTAGTCTTAGTACAGAAACTAGCTCTCGATCAAAAACTGTTTTTGACGAGCTTAATTAAGGTTTTCAAGTAAACAAAAACAAACTACAAACTTATGGTCCAATATTCACACTGGCACATATAATAAGAAATAAATATCGTTAAATTTTCAACAGAAATCAATTCAGACACAACACAATAGAATCATAACATAATCTGACAAGGAAACCTAATCTTTGATAGTACAATTATATTTAAAAAGGACGTACGACATCAAGAATGAACTTATATAATAACGAGGTTTAATAGTAATAATAGTTTAACAGTAATAAGATAGTCAATAAGACAGGGTAGCAAATACCTTAATATTACAGTTACTGAAGCTATTTGCCGGTAAATAAAAGCTGACAGAAAGATAATAGTTTGTGTAATATAACAGTTACGAGCTGTAGAGTCAAGGAATAAAAAACACGCAAGCTAGAAACCAGAGGCAGTGACTATGGATTGTTGAAACGGACGCTGGGAAACCGTCGTCTTCGTACATTACATGTATTATGGAAATTATGACATGACAGCCTTATGACGGAGCTTTTTGCAATGGAAACTACGCTGCAGAGCAATTGTCAAGATATACGGTCGTCAGATAGAGCACGACCGGACGTTTTGATATGAACTGTAATAACAACATGGCGAGGTTTCAAAATCGCTTTAAGATAACATATTACCGTTTCCATGTTTTTTTTTTGCCTTGTTATGTGCTACAGAGAAACATCATGCTAGAAATGCTTGCAAACTGAAATTTTTTTTTTTATTCTTTTTGTTAAAAGGATCCTCATAGAAAGAAAGACAAAGTTCTGTAAAATAATTATTTATAATTGTATGTCTTGATCTGCCTTATAATGAAATGGGAATTGATTGTTAAAATGTGACAATTGCTCTATCATGGGGGCACCATACTGATTAATTAATTAATCATCAGCGCTGGATAATATCCAACAGCTGTCGTTATACATGCTATGACATATTCAAACCCAACTGTATTAATTAAAAGTAAATGTACATAATTACAGTAATATGTCACAAACTTGTGTATATTGGAATATTTTTACGCTTTTGGAATATGTAGCTGAACGAAAGGAATATCACAAAGGTTAATCTTTTATATGTTTTTTGACATAATTTAAAATAATATGATTAAAAAGAAAATATAATATAGTTTATGTAGTCAGATACAACAATGTATTCTCTAAGCGCAGACGCCCCCCAGTGGAACAGCGGTACGTTTGTGGACTTACAACTCTAGAATCCGGGTTTCGATACCCGTGGTGGGCAGAGCACAGATAGCCCATTGTGTAGCTTCGTGCTTAATTACAAACAAACAAACTAAACGCAGACAGGCGACAACGCAGCAGAAATCTCATACAAAAACGTTTTAATTTTACTATACCGTATATATTTATAGAATAATAAAAATGGTATTTTTACCTGCATATTTTCAGCGAAACAATCCTCAAAAAGTGTTCTCGCAAAGGATATTTGGTAGTTTTAAGGTATGTTTTTTTCTTTATGTCAGAAACTTTTATACCAAGACTGCATGCCACATAATTTGAAGTTCTTTTCTGCTTCTGAAATAATAAAAAAGTACGTTTCCTTTCACCACGTTATATTGTATAATACGTCGCTTTCCACTGTGACATTTTTAAAACTTCTATCAATACACTTGCTTTTACAAACTACTATTAAACTGATCAGTATCGATGAAGATATAAATATGGCTTAGAATACGTCACAAAATAGCTTTGACCGCAAAGGCATGGTTATTTCTTTTCAAGCCGTGTATCATGCTAAACTTTGAAATAACTTATCAAATCAATCTTTCGTTAAAAACACAAACTTTTCACGATGATGAAAATGGGCTAAAGATTAGAAATCATTGGAAGTTTTCTTTCCAATTAAAAAGGAAGAGGCTCGACATGGCCAGGTGGTTAGGGCGCTCGACTCGTAATCTGAGAGTCGCAGGTTCGAATCCCCGTCACACCAAACATGCTCGCCCTTTCAGCCGTGGAGGGGTGTTATAATGTGATGATTAATCCCAATATTCGTTGTTAAAAGAGTAGCCCAAGAGTTGGCGGTAGATGGTGATGACTAGCTGCCTTCCCTCTAGTCTTACACTGCTAAATTAGGGACGGCTAGCGCAGATAGCCCTCGTGTAACTTTGCGCGAAATGCAGAACAAAGAAACAAAAAGGAAGAATTTGTAACGTGAAAATTAATGTTTTGTGTGTGAATAAAATAATTAACTGTTTTTAAAAACTTATTTTTTTTACTTATTTATTTGTTCTATCCCTAAATAAAACTTAATTTTTTATTCTAATACTTTTCCCAGATCTGAAGAATGAGTTTTGAATAACTTGTCTTTCAAAACAAGACATTTCCATTTGTTTTCATGTATTTTTACTGTTTAATGTTGGCTATTATGATTTTCAACATTGAGTTAAGGTTTCTTGAAATGCAACCATTTCTCGAAGCAATTTACACGATAGTAATGTGATATAGTTGCCTTAAAACCTGCCATGTTGTGTAGTGTTCAGACTATAATGGACACAAACGTGAAGGGTTCCGATATGCAGTATGGAATTGGTTAGAAATACGATGCTTACAGAGGTTCTCAACAATAGCCAATGATTTTAATTGTTCATTTCGGATATTCACGCAAGGCTATAAAAAGTTAATCGTCCCAAATTTTGAACTGATAGGTTAGAGAAAAGGCAGAAGGCAGATAGTCAATAGTACCCATTGCCAACTCCTGGGCTATTCTAATTGAATAGTTTCATTTAGCAATCAGTTTTATAACCCACACAGATTTATAGTCCGATCTATTAACCGTTAGATCACACCCAGTCACAACATTTTGACAACGTAAACCTCATTGTGTGACGTCAAATGTTAAATAAAGTATAATTAAAACATGAAGCATGTATGGAAGAGTTAAATTAGTTCAAATGGTATAGTGCAATACAGAGCGTCAGATATCATAGGGCAACAGATGTGATTAAAGATATTAAAAACTAAAAAAAAAAAAAACTTTAAAAAATGTAGCAAACGAAACATTACCATTATGGTGAAGGTTTTGAAAACATAACTATTTCTAATATCTTCTGTAAATAAAAACAAATATTGTTCATTACTGTATACGTTGTACAATACACATGTTACTTTGTCTTCAAATGATTGTGTTTTTAGTCATCTATAACTAATAACTAATAATCTATTAATTAAAGTTCTTGTTTTATGATAAGAAATGTATCATTTTACAGCATCTTAAGGCTAAATAGTTTAAACTATCTTTCTAAACTTCTATTATCCTGAAATTGTGTATACTGTTGTTTACATTTTATCTTTAAACTTTTAATGTAAAACTACGAATGAAAGTACATGGTATAAGAAGTGAGAAAATGCATTAAGGCACAAAACATTGCTCCTAATACTAGTAAGATAAAGTACATCCACATGAACGACACCAGAAGGCACTTATACATTTTATCATTTCAGCATATTTACTATTGAATTATTCAATGGTTATATCATAATAATAGCAGAATTGTATTGTACTGTGTAATTGTTCTCCAAATATATATATTCCTAATTAATAATTCAATTTATTTAGTTCTTTTTTATCTTAACTTTGTAATCCCAGGTTTAAAATGAAGGGGAAATGGAGTAAGTTAAAAAGTATTTAAGTGATAGAACAGTGCGTACAAAATTGGATGTTTTTTCCGAAAATCAGTCACGTGACCGTGGATTTCGAAACAGGTCACGTTTTATAAACAACGAACTTCGATTACATTCTAATCATTTCCGGCTTATTTGTTTAATAACAATTATATTTGGTGTAGTTTAGACATTAAACAAAAATACTTTATAACATTGTTACAAATTCATATTGTTTGTTTGTTTAGAATTAAGCACAAAGCTACACAATGGGCTATCTGTGCTCCGCCCACTACGGGTATCGAAACCCGGTTTCTAGCGTTGTAAGTCCGCAGACATACCGATGTGCCACTGAGGGGCAATTCATATTGTCATTAATAGTAATGAGTAAAGATCTAATGCCCTTGTTTTTAAATACATTCTATGGTTTTGATAGTTTCTTGAGAGTTAATTTAGATTCAAGCAAGTTAATAATTTGTCTGCGAAAAAGTTTACTTTTGTTTGAATAAACAATCTCAGTTTGATACAAACTTCAAATCAAGTCAAAGCGAAAATAGCTGTGATTGTAATCTCAGAAGAAGCTTAGGGTTTCTGTCAAGGGGGAAATAAGATAGCAAGTTTATCCATATGTGGGTCAAAATTATGTTATATTACAAACAAAAAATTAAATATTCATCGCGTACTGTTTAGATGTATGCAGGCAGGACGTATGCTAAGATTCAAGACCCCCAGCGTTTCAGTGGCAGTAAGGGCTGGGCTAATTTGACATTTGATGTATGAGCTGATAAATGACTTATGATGTAAAGCTAGTGATGAATGTGACAGAGGGCAGGGGTGTTTCCTGTATACTGATGAGGCGGAACACTTGAAGAGGCAGGGCACTGCCGACCTGGCACTGTGGCCCTGCCACGCAATACTTGTAATAACGAGTAGAGATGAGTTTTGCACCTTGGCCTCTATCTCCAAGCAGTGGCGCCCCCCCCCCTTCTCAAACCTTTCTCGCCTTCTCCTCTCGTCAACGACCTGTACTCTATCCGTACATGACTTGGGTCTTCTGTGACGTCATTGGATCTCAGCCATTAGGAATGCTATCAACAGTTTTAGAACGATCACCACCACATACTGTTGTAATGAGGAGTCTTAGACATTTTGATGACTCGACGAAAGACATTTACGATGTTCTTGTGATCTAACCTATTTATCTCTCTGTCTATTTTATGAATTAATTAGTTTGTGTACTTTTCACTATCCTTGCATTATTCTGTTTATTTAACTATTTACTAATTATCTGTTTTATATACAGCTAAAATCGATCTAATTTGACTTACGAATTTTCTGCTGAATATGTTTTATATCCACTATAATACTATGAATACTAGATGCATGAAATATTATTATCAAGCAAAGTAGGCTTATAATAAGTTTCTTGATTTAACCTGATGTTAAGCCAAACAGAAATACATTATGTTATTGTAATGTCATCCAAAACCAAGCCAAACATGCTTAATAAATGTATTGATATAGTGTTATTACACAAGTCAAAGAAAAGTGTAGTCAATTTTTATGTATTGTCATTACCAAATCAAGTAAGCTTACAGCTGGTTTATCACTATACATAATGTAATTATTAAATAAAGGAAGCTTAAAGTTAGTTTTTCGTTATTATAATATCATTACCAAATAAAAAAACTTATTAAATTACTATTTCAAAAACTAAGGTAAGTTTGCAATCTGTTTTCCTTTATAGCATCATTATCAAATCAGTTCGTTTGTTCAAATACTACATAAAATATTTAGCGTTTCAGTGTATATAATTATCTACAATTCCTGATCAAAGAAAGTAAACGGAATGGATCAAAAGTCAAATATAATAGGTTATTAAATAATGTAGCTAATTTCATATACCGGTCAAACTAAGAATATTTAAAGTTATAAACAAATCACAATGAAATATAAATATATAGTTATTAGTATGCATTAAATCATCAGTTGGATGCCCTAACTATTATCTACTTTTTCGGCTGTAATCCCAATAATATCTTATGAGGCTCGAGCCATCTTAGGTGATTTTCATAAGTGTAAAATTAAAGTAGATTTATATTGAACATTATAACTATTCAAATGAAGAATGGAATATTACTAGTTGAAAACATAAAAATTAGTTGTTTGCTTCATGTAGTCTTTTGTGCTTGGAAAAACAGTATCGGTGCATAATCGTGCAGAAAGTAATATTTTCTTGTCTGTTAGAACTTACACAGGCCTGCGAATTTAAATATCATAAAAGTTGTTTTGGTTGTAATAACGGATTTTCCATAATTCAGCTATGCAGATTTCGAAAATAATATTAATTTGTTTTCTATCACGTAAGGATTTTTTACAAATCGGGAAGCAAAAAAAAACTCTTGCTTAGATCAAATTATTATTTCGTTTACCACAATGAACATTTTTTATTATTATGTTTGTTAACAAAAACACAAACAAACTGAAGAAAAGGGAAGAGCATTGATGTCAAACGAATATGCATCCTCATTCATCCTGATTTTTTTGTGTATGAAATCTACGTCTTTTAGTCTCAAAACTACGTGTTGTTGTCTTTCTTTTATGAATTGCATTATGACATTTTGTGAAAAATAGATATCATTTTCGGATTCAGCGTACAGGAATTACTGTTAAACATATACAAATTGCAAGACAATAAAACTATCGCAGGTGTTATGGTTTGATTTGTTTGAATTTCGCGCAAAACTACACGAGAACTATCTGCACTAGTCGTCCCTAATTTAGCAGTGTAAGCTAGAGGGAAGGCAGCTAGTCATCACCGCCAACTCTTGTGCTACCCTTTTACCAACGAATAGTGGGATTGACCGTCACATCAATACGTCCACACGGCTGAAAGGGCAAGCATGTTGGGTGGG